ATTTCAACAAGCAAAAACCACCCAAACACTGCAAATGATATGATGAAATGGTTCAGGGAGTGCTTTGGTGGTGAGCTTATCAGTCGCAGAACTCAATGGGCAGCTTATTCGCCAGATCTAAATCTCTCAGATTTTCATCTTTGGGGATTTCTCAAAGCCAATTTGTATACTGACAGGCCTCTAACAATCTAAAGAGTGCAATAACTACCCCAATTCGTACCATCCACATTGATGTGTATAGGTCAGGGTCATTAACAACTTTGGTCGCAGGATTCTTTTGTGCATAGAGAGAAGTGCCCATTTTGAGCATGTTTTGTACGATACTGTAGTTTTTGACACAACTGACAGATTATTATGAAACTTTCGCAACTAAATTTACATTGAATGAACTTATAAATCTAAAATTTTAAAAAGAGCAAGGCAAACATTAGACTTCATAGGCATCCCAATGGAACTTTGTACAAAGATTCCATTTGTTTATTTCGAGCTTTGGCATATCATCAGCTTCAGACCTTTCAAAATCTTGAGGATAGAGTAGATCAGTTAATACAGAAATGGCCAAGGGAAGACGATTTTAGTGGGGTACCTCTCTCTCAAATACCCGAGTTTGAAGAAATGCATGATATTTCGGTCAATGTTTTCTCACTCAACGAAGATAGAAAAGCGGAGTGTGTGTACAAATCTGTCAAAAGCTATCAAGATCAAATGAATATCAACTTGTTTCAAAATCACTGCAGTTATATTACTTCATTGGCAAAATACAGCAAAAAGTATAAGTGCAGAAATTGCGATTACATCACTAAAAGGGTCACTGATTTAAAAAGGCATGAAAAGACATGTCGTGATGCCACGTTTCTTCAATTTCCTGGTGGTTATCATAAACCTCAAACAACGTTATTCGAAGATCTTGAAGCTTTTGACAGTGCTTTATCTGTCCCAGAAGGTGACAGATATATCACGCATTTTGCATGTTTTGACTATGAAGCCATGCTATTCCCACTTCCATTAAATCATCCAAGTCTGTTTGGGAGTCCAAGCACGTTCCTGTTTCAGTCAGTGTATGTAGCAATGTTAATGGGTTTCAATCCCCGAAATGTTTTGTCAATGAGGATATAGATGAACTCGTCAGTAACAAGGTCAAGTACCTCAAACAGAATCTTAAGAGGTTCTGGACAAATCATTTGATTCTGGACTTGTCATATTTTTTTTCAACGAAATCACATCCAAGGTTTTTTTTATTTTTTATTAGCTACATGTATTAAGAGAGCGAGTCCTGCCTAGTATAAATTTCAATAAAAAAAGTTAAAATAGAACCCTATTTGAGAGTTGATCTAATACTTACATTACATTGATAAATTAAGGCAAATACTGTAAATCCAATCCAATATTTTTAAGTGCATTCTTTATGAAATATTATCCAAGTATTTAGATGAAACGGTCTTATTCAAATACAAATCATAACATGATGACATTTTTTCATAAAATATTTTTCCATGAAATTCAATTGAAGGGTCAAGATAAACGAGCTAATTTAGGTGAAAACCCTTACATGATAATGTGTACTAAAAAGTAATATAACAACACTCGTTTCCGAATGTGCACACTTGTAGACAAACTGATTTCATTTTATGGGTACAATCTAGGTCCCAATTCATTTGAGTCTAAAGCGGTCGTTTCAGACACAGTATTTTATTGGATCTGGTTTTGAGACACATTTAATTAGGCAGAATGCAACATATATATACAATTTAGTTAAGGCAATGTATATAATATTGGGGCGAAATACACATTCATTGTACTCATGGCGATAATAACACCAGCACGTGCTTGTGTTTATATTTTTAATATGTTCTCCGAAGTCCGCGCGTTGTTGAATATACAGCATATTTTTCTCAATGCCTGGGTTATTATGAATGGTGTTTTCGCATAAATATAAACATAGTTTAACTATGTTATAAGGTAGAAAAATATTAGCCTTAGCATAATGTACACGCATTGCAGTGTTCGTGTGACGATTTTCTATTGAGTTCTAACCACTACTTGGTGTTAGAAAAATACAATGGAGTGAACTTGAAGTTCGATAGAGATCAGAATATATATATGGTGCATAAAGACACCACTGTTATAGCGTATAAGCCTTTCAACCTGTTGAGTATTGAGATTAACAGGCGATATAACATATACGAGGGGTGATCCAAAAGTCTTGGACACCCTGCTCTAATTTTGTTGGTTTTTGATAAAGTCACTTTAAACTTTCCAATAATAAAGACCAACGGCCTAACTACTTTGTGTATTAATTTCATGGAGAAATGATATATTTTATGTAGTTTTCTATATAGTTTTTAATATAGGGACCCTGCCACCCGGAACGGTATTCGCACATGGCAACTTTCAGCATTAAATGTTGCCGCCATATCACTTGTTTCGCAAGTCTTGACCGCTATCCTTCTTTGAATTTTGAATGTTAATCCATGTTAGTTTACTTCCTTTGTTACTAGGCAACAATTAATTGTGTTTTGATTATAATGTCACATATGACAATGGCCGTATATGTCAAATTCTAAGAAAATGACATCAGTCAAGCAACCCTCATTCTGGTATCATTTTTGCTGCAAGATGGCTGCTGAAATGCAGAACATAAGAGAAATCAATGTGAAACATAGAATACTACAAGATATTCTCCCTATTATTGACCTTGAACAGCTACCATATAAATGATAAAGTCTAGATATGGCTCCGTGTGATTTTCTTCCTTTTCTCCAAGTTGAAAGGAGGGTTGAAGGAAAATGCTTTTCACTCATTGGATGAGGTTTAGAGTGGCACTCCAGCAGCATTTGTATCACATAAGCAATGGCGGTTTCATAAATGTCTTCCATTCATTGGTAGAGCGGTAAAAAAATGTGTTCAAATTTGTGGAAAATATGTTGAAAAGTAGGTCTTAATATGTGAAGATGATGATGGCAGATGAAACTCAGATTGAAAATCGGAAATTCTCTCATA